GAGGAGATTTAGGTGATAAGGTTAGGGGGGGGGGTTACCTTGGTTGGTGATTGGCTAATGGTTACACAAGCCAAAAGATCGTTATGACATCATTAAGTGGCCAAAATCTGATCGGCTCATTTTCAGAGTTTTTTACATAAATGGATCAGGACAAAAAGAGAGAGAATCTTTTTTGCTGAAACTTTCAGAATCTCTTTCCACAGTGGGGACACATGTTTATGTATAAAAGACATGATAAAAAAACTTGAAAACCAAAATTGATCAAATAAGCAATGAAATATTCTAAAATAAAATATTGGTCTGGCTCTAATATTCAGTGTTTTGTTTGACTGCTTTTGACACCATAAATTGTTTATTACACAGGTTAACCAAACCAGATGTTTTGGTAGTATGGTAAAGCAAAACTTGAAAGCATTTAAAGAATACTATCTTGTATTACTATCTGAAACGGACTTTGAAATACATATTAATGTTATTGTGTAACTAACTTCTGTAGACATTTGTACAGTATTTAGCTATTTAACGTAAAACCACAGCTTTCAACATTCCACTGTAGAAAATCAGTTTCTATTTATCATGTGAACCGTTATAACACAATGTTAGCTGGGATATGAGAAAGCACGATACCTCCCAACTACAAAATGTGGCTTTTATATTTAAATTAGTAAGCAGTGAGTGGTCCTTATTTAATAATCAAACAACAAACAGGTCTCCCATTAATGCCTTGTTCAGAAAGATGTGAACAACACAATAAAAGTTAAAACACTCACATGTAAGGGGTATAACCGGCTGTTTGGACATGTCCATCTTCAGAGGATCCACCATGGCCTTCTTGGAAGGAATATATTTCCTAGGCTCACGAACACCTTTATCCGTTTTCTTTGCCTTTTTCTCATCACACTTAGATTTTGCATTTGTGTCGGGTACCAGTTCTGAGGGGACGCTTGGCTTTGAAGCTGAGTCAGTCTCGACCCCTGCACTGTTAACTGAGGGCTCTGTCTGTGGCTGGACAGCAGGCTCATTCTCCACTACCTGAGTGACTGGCAGGTTTGCAGGTGTTTCTGCTGTTTGCACCTCTGTCCCATTTTCCTGGGGCGTTACAGTTTCAGTCATAACAGGAGCTGCTGGTTCATCCTTCTCTTTTTGCTCATCTGAATCACTCTGTGCTGGCTGAGCTTCAGTCTCGGTGTCCAGTGGTGGCTCCTGTGTTGCTGTGGCCCCAGGGTTTGGCCCGCTAGGTGACTGGGTCGTACTCTGCATGGCTCCCTGCTCTTTGGCTTCTCAAAAGCAAGTGTAGCAATTCATGTGTTCCTATGAAACCATGACTGTTAATTACACAGATAAACCAACACATACACTGAGACTCACACAAGATACCAACAATGTTTTAGTAGTAGTAAAACCTGCTTTATAACAAATGATTCTATCCACTATTTGATTTGTTCTAAAAGCAGTAAGGGACCTTTGTGATGTACAATGCGCCAGCTGGAGGACCAGGGAATGAATGGGTTTAAAACATGTGTATTACAAAAGAAAGACGATGTAGGGCAGCCGTTAAATGCTAGTTTATAAGCTACATTGTACACTCTTATTTGTATGAATCGTGTATGTGTAAAGTGCTTGAAAAATAGATATTATTCTTGAACATACAGTTACGCAGATAATAGTAGCGCAGTTAGCTTATTATTTTTCACTAATATACATGGAGAATACGTTGGAAATGTTAGCGTTTCCGACCCGAAACAGCTCCAAAGAAGCTAAATATGTAGTCACTTTCTACGTATCCCATGATAATATCCCGTATAGCTGTATGAATGCAGGAGGGTGTAGATTTAGATTACCTATGCGTTCTCGTCCGCCCAAACATCTCTGCGTCGCTCTGCACAAAGCCAACAGACCTGCAGACAACGTGACGTCACTCCTGAAAGGGTCGCAGAGGAATCATGGGAATTGTAGTTTTTTACCACACTCAGTCCGCCACTCATGCAGGAGTCCTACGCCCACTCTGCTGCTTACATCTAATACCTCAACTATGTACATATTTCACTTTTCTGTTCAGTTTTATTTTTCTAGTTTGAGATGCTTAAATGTTATGTACAGAAGTCCTGCACACGTACCTTTGTTCTGCTGTTCCTATAATACTGTGTGTACACACACACACACACACACACACACACAAATGGTATTATCCAAAAGCACATACACACTAACACACACATGTTGAATGCATTTCATTTTATTTGGGGTTAAGAAGGAAAGGGGAAGTAGCTTTGCTTTTGCAACACTTTGTTTCATCTCAGTTTACATGTCAAAATCATGCATTCAAAAACTGTAGTACAATCTCATAGCATCAGACACTAAGAGTTAATCTGTTGTAGAAACTCCTTATCATCTCCCCAGGGACATTATAAATATTTAAATGTAACAGTGGGTTAGAGTTAAAATCATTCTCAGCACACTAGATAATAAGTATCAATTCTACAAGTTCATTTATCAACAATTGCTAACAATTTGTTTCTTCACCATATTTCTTTAAACTGTAAGAAATGCAAAAATAAATGGTCGACAAAGTAAGAAAAAAAATGCTTATGTGAGCCTTCAACCCTAAATATCTTCAACATCATCGTGTGGTATCGGCAGCTCCCCAGTAGCATGCTTTACATAATGTAAATGCAGTTTTGCCACTTCATCAAAGCCCATATCACATTCAACACATTCCCACTCCCAATACTTATGTTCTCTGTACATGTTGTTTTCTGGTGATTCACTCTCAGCCAGCTCCTGTCCTGTTGGGGGCTGTACAGGTTCTGATTTCCATTTGTCATGTGGACCAGACCGAGCAGACCCTGGTGGTTTTGAAAACTTGAAGTGATGTAAGGGCTCCCCACAATCGGACTCTTCAGAGCTCCCATGATCCCCAGACTCACAAGGCTGTTGAGTTTCATTTTGCTCCACGTATGTATCAATTTCTGGCTCCTCTTTGACACTAGCCAGATAATTGTTCCTCCATTTATTTCTTCGCTTCCTGGAACCTCGAAGCATCCCGTTGAACCCAGCATAAGCTCTTAGATGCTTTTTTCGGTGCAAAAGTAGATTTACACGTTTGAAGAAGCTTGCCCCGCAGAATGTGCACTGGTAAGGTTTAGCTCCACTGTGGGTTTTGTAGTGGATCCTGAGCTGTTTTGATACGTGGAAACTCTCGTGGCAAATATGGCACGTATGTTTCATCAGAGTGTGACTGCTCATGTGTTTATCTAGAGAATCTTCATTTTTAAAGCCTTTGGCACAACTTAAACACCAAAACGGTTTCTTTCTATGGAGGACGACATGATTCATCCATGACTTTATCGACCTGAAATCTATGCTACACTGATCACATCTGGGAGGTTTTGATTTGGATGGCCTGTGGACTCTCATGTGACCAAGAAGCCGAGCTCGCCTGGTAAACGACATCCCACAGTCCGGACACTGATGCTCATCTAAATTAGGGACACTTGGTGGACTTCTAGTTGTAGGTAGCAGGTTTTCATGCAGCTGTAGGTGTTTCTGGTATGAAACCATATATGTATAAACCTTCCCACAGACTAAGCAAGTATGATATTTCCCAAATTGCTCCTTTGTTCCGGCGTCCCGCACATCTTCTGTAAATCCTGTGGGTTGTATCTGCAATAAACTGCTTGTGTCACACTCATCTGCTTCACCACTAATGTCTACATCTCGGCTTTTTCCATCGACTCCTCTCACTGAATCCAGTTCTGACACAGGACTCATGTCGTCTCCCATCTGGGCCTCTTCCTCCTCCTCTTCTTCCTCCTCCTCTCCCTCTTCCAGGGCATGTTGGTGCAGGTGGGTCTGGTAGATGTCCCATTGTGTAAACTTCAGTCCACATTCCTCACATGAAATGCTGTCCTGTTTAACTAGAAAAGAAAAAAGGAGCAATTAATTTAACAAATACAAATAAAATGTCATGAATTATAATTTCTCAATTCTAAATAAACTCATTAAGTTGTTGTATAGTATATAAAGCAAACTAGCATATATCTTCAGATTTGATTAATAATTTTTTTTTAAATCGATGATTTTCAAGCTGACATTTTGATGTTTCGTAACAGAAAAAAAGCGTTACTGTTAAAGTGACCAAAGTTTAACTGAAGCAGCTCAAACTTACAAGACTGAGATGTGGCTCTCCTCTTCGTCAAGTGAAACAAATACAATGTTTAGCCTTGTTGAGCTTGTCTGTAAAATAAGGAGACTATCCGTGACCCATCTATGGAGCCTGGAGAGCGCCACTCAAATAAGTATACCACAGCTGCTCAGACTTATTTCTGGGTGGCACATTTCTTCAATATGCATTGAAATTAAGACTTCTTTGAAAATGTCCAAATACATTTTTTACAAATTAAATTATAAATATGAAAACAGGAAAGCAATGTGATAGTTATGATCAGAAATTAGTAAATTAGTTTTCAATTAATACAAAAAAAGAATAATTTCAAACATTCATTTTGAATTAAAAACTTGAAGACATTAAGTAAAAAAGCACCACTTATTGTCAAATTAAATGTTTTTTTAGGTTTATAATGCATCAATTAACTTTACTATTATTTAACACCAAAAAATTATATAAATGTTCTGCTGGAAACTATATCCATAATGTTCTCTGTATGAAATGATTCAATGTCTGATGTCAAGACCGATGTTCTTCAGTTGTTAATGACTAAAAACGAACATGTGACATACAAACCAGGTTTTGAAATGACCAGTTTCTAGTGAATAGTTAGGTTTTGAAATGTAAAATTGTAATATTACACATAGCACGCCCAGTGCTTAGTCAAAAAAAGAGTAGCAATCACAAAACAGAAGAAACAAACTAAACAATTCCACAAACATTTAGATTAACAAAAATAAAGCTATATGAATCACACAACCCAGTAATTCACGTTACACGTCTCAAATATTTTTGTAACTTTTATTTTGTAACTTTTTTAGAGCTCTTTTTTTATTATTATTTGGAAACAGCAAGTTAAACAAGTATAATGGTCATCTAAGAAAAAAACGTTTTTCATAAATTAATAAAACAAAGTAACATTTTCTATAATCCAAATACTTTTTAAGTGGCACACTAAACTAACAACTATCCTATATGAACTCAAGCACTATTTTAGTTTACATAAGGAATAGTATATCCACAACAGAGAAACACAATACTGAAAAAGAAAGAGCATGGGAGCTTCTACATCAATTAATGCTAAACGTTTTGTACATAACTTAGAATTATTTGAAATTTAAATGTGTTTTTTGGTAGTTAATGGTTGTGATAACCTGTACCTCAGGTATTTGAAGGACACAAGCAAATTCAGTATATCTTAGTTGTGCAGAAATATTTAAATTCATAATCTTTGAAAATATGTAGCGAGTCAGCCGCACTGTTCAGATTGATGACAAACATGTACATGCATATATGTTTCCAATCCTTTTGTTATATATCTAGATATAAACTACCATACTCAAGTCAATTTTCACCAAAAAAATAACCACGGTTCAACTCTTGACAATACAAATCATAACGGAACAAATCAACCGGTGGCTCAAAATAATTCTGACATTACAACATAATTTATATAAAGAGGTTGTTTTTGAAACATTTGCACAGTTACCAATCCAGTGTAACTGATGCCTGAAAAGAAAATACATTTTTTTTTTTTATATAAAGAATTTAAAATAGTCAACAAACAAAAAGGAGATGCCTACTTTCTACTTAGCCTAAACACATTTCTATCTTATAATTATGCAGTTGAACATATTTAAGTAGTTTGGCATCCTCCAAAACAATCTACAGTGTTTTCACTTCAGTCCTTTTCAGGTTGTACAGTATAGTACACTCCATGGGCATGCTCCATGTAGTGCTTGTGCAAATCAGTTTCTTGACAGAAAGTAGTTCCACATTCAAGGCAAGTAAGGCTATCAGCATCTACTGAGGAGACGGCAGCGGGAGCATCATTCTGCCTTTTGTAATCACCAATACATTCCTGGTGATGATCGATAAGGTCCTGTATTTCACTGAAGGTCCTGGGGCAAATGGAGCAATGATACGAGTCGTTGTTACAGTGCTGTGTTTCGTGTTTTTGTAATGCAGTTGGTGAAAGAAAGGCTTTGCCACAATGTTGGCACTTATGGCTTTTTTGTGACTGGTTCTCTGATGAACAGGACGTTGCCCTTGTGTCAGCAGAGGGGACGTTGGCTTTTAAAGGCTTTGAGGACAGAGCAGCGCCAATCCTATACCGAACCTCGTTGGGTAGACGACAACGGACTTCATCGTGCCAGGCGAGGTGTTGCTGCAGCTGATTCTCAGACCAAAATCCGATGCAGCACAGGGCGCAACAAATAGGGTGGCTCTTTGCCTTGGTCTTATGGGTCTCCAGGTGTTCCTCTGTTTGGAAAGCTTTCCCACACTTATCACACTTGAATAGGCATTTTGTCATATGCTCTGATAGACGGCTTAGTGGTGGGGAAACATCGGCTACGGTTTCAGGTGTTTGGATCTTCTCTTCCTTTATCTCGTGGCACACTTTCTTATGGTCAAACAGGGCCTCTGTAGAACTGCACTGCTTCCCACAGTCAAGGCAGGAAACATATTTTACAAGTGGGGGGGCTGCTCTAGTTTTCTTCATTTCTTTGTCAACATTACTAATTTGTTCTGTCTGTTTGACTTCACTGCTTGAGGCATTGTTTTTTATATTCAAAATGATCTTATTTTTACTTTTTGTCCTTTTGGAATGGGCCTGCCATTTGTGAGCGTGCAGACCTCTTGCCTTAGCAAAAGTCATAGAGCAGGTGGGGCACTGGTGAGCTTTTGGCTTCGATATTGATGACATTAACTCACTCCGATTGAAGTTTACATCAACCTGTTTTGGTTCCTGTTCAACCATGGCGAGCCCGTCTTCGGCATGGTCGGTAGTTTCCAGTGTGTTATGCTCATTTTCATAGTGGGCAGCTAGAAGAAATTGTTGCTCAAATGTTGTGTTACATTCTAGACATACAAATGTAGATTCGTTCAGTCTGCTATGACTCTCAACGCTTTGGTTTGAATCGAGCTCTGGCTCCGTTTTTGTTTGACACAGAGGGTTAAACATCTTGTGACGCTGGAGAACACGACGGTCAAAAAACTGTTTGCCACATTTTTGGCACTGAAAAGGTCCATCCTCTGATTTGCTTTTAGCAGATTTAAATTCATCATCTTTTAGCAAGGACCGTGTTAATTTCTTTTCTTTGTGCCATCTTCTGTGGGAGCCGAGGGCCGAGTTAGACATGAACCTCCTCCCACATTCTGAGCAGTGAAAATTTCCTTTACTTGGCTCTTCCTCTTTAGGTTTTTTAAGCATTACAGACACAGCCATTTTTGCTTTTGCTTCAGATTTGTCATCATCAGCATGAATCATTTTATGAAAATTCAAAGCTCCAGCCACTGAAAAGCTTCTGTCACACTTTTTGCATTTATATTTTAAATGTGTTGTGCTTGAGTTGCCTGATTTGCCTTCACCCGTTTGATTTTCTAACATTGGTTGCACACTCTCTTGTTCCTGCTTTATTTCAGTATGTAGTGTTATTTGCTCAGAGCTCCCCTGTGTGCTAACATCCATACTGTCCTTTTGAGTATATTCATTTTCTGAGGGTTCTGTCTTAAAATCAACTACTTGACTTTCTCTTTTAATGCAAAGTTTGCGATGAGCCCGCAAAGAAGCTTTGTTGTTAAAATGTGCGAGGCATGTCGCACACTGCAGGTCCTCCAGCGTGACAGTGGATCTTGGCGATGATGGCGAGTGACCAGTTTCGTACCCATGGCTTTTCATGTGAAACTGAAGTGCTTTGGCCCGGGAAAACAGCTTCCCGCAGTCAGGACAGCTGTATGTGTTCTTTTTCAACTGCTCTACCTGATGCTGAAAAGACTTAATGGGTGGTGGGAGTAACTCACTATGCACAACCTGGTGTCTGAGAAGGCTGGAAAAAAGACGGAACGACCTGTTGCACAGTTCACATTTGTGATTTCCGTTTTCATGTTTTCGCATGTGCAATGCCATAATGCCCTTGTGACGGAACTTTCTACCACAAACTGGACATGCAACCTTGGGCCGTTGGTGTCCATTAACAGAGTGCAGAGATCCGGGGGCACCTTTTCTAAGCCTTAAATCTGTACACTCAGTCTGACTTTGCTTGTGGTGGGAATAAGCTCCTAAAGACCAAAACCCCTTACCGCACTGTTCACAATGATAAATCTTTGGGCCTAAAAGGGTCTTTTTTGGATTGTATTCTTTTTTACTGACCAAAATATTCCCCTTCTTTTGTGCCGAGCAGTTTTTCACATGGTTAACAAAACTAGCTGCATAAGAATAAGACATCATGCAATCTGGGCATTGATATGGTTTTCTTTTGGGATGATGCAGCTGATGAGAGACTAAAGCAGACAAACGTGAGAAGCTTTTACCACACTCATTGCACACAAGATTTTTCGTCTCTAATCCTTCTGATTCACCATCACTGTTTCTTTTAGGATTTTTGTGTTGTTGAATGTGACTGCAGTGCGCTGCATAGCTATTCGATTCGTGGCCACATGTGTCACATGTGTGAACTGCCACAGACTGACCTGGATTCTGCTGTTTTCTCTTACGAACGCCATGCCACATTCTGTGAACGCGCAGTGATGAAGCACTAGAAAACCAGCGATAACACTCGGGGCAATCAAATCTTTCTTCTGTCGTTTTATTCTCGGCTTCTTTCGCTATCAGTGCACATTGTTCATCAGTTTGCTCAAAGTCAATTTCTACAATTTTCAAATCCATCTCTGGTTTTAAAACAAGACTACTGGGGGAAACTCCAGTGTCGCCTTCATTTTTATTTTCCTGATCCGATTCACACAGCAGCTCAAGATCAGGATTCGTGTCTTGGGCGGCCTCATCCTCAGATTCACTTGCACTGATCACCTGAACAATAAAGTCCCCAGGGTCGTAACTGTCCAAGTCTTCATCACTCTCATTTGCATGCGAGTCTTCTTCAACCACACTTATAGGAAGCACATTTTCTGATGTCACTTCTTCTTGCTTATTCTCTTTTCTTTCGTTATCCAAAGTTTTCTGTTGAGGTAGCAGAGAGGTACTCACATGAGACTCCTTCTCTGTTTCTCCATAAACATCCGTGTGATTAAGCTGATGGGAATGAAGTGCTGAAGCCCTTGAAAACTTTAGTCCACAATCTTTACATTCAAATGCCTTTTTCTGCAGCTGACAGACTTGGTGAAGAAACGACTTTGCTGGGGTCTCCTCACTATGCGCCGTGCGCTGATGCCTGTAGTAGAATGTTAGTGTCATAAATACTTTGCCACATTCCTCACATGGAAACCTTTCCGCAGAATCATCAGAGTGATTGGCATGCCATCGCTGATGGTTAAAGAGGGCAATATGTCCAGTGAAAGCCTTTTTACACTCATCACAGTAAAACTCATTGCAGCTTTTCTTAGGTTTTTCTTTCATGTCTTCAGGAGAGCATAGACTGTTGCGGCTAAATCGTTGATGTGTTTTAAGGCGCATCATGGCAGTAAAAGCTTTACCACATGAACACTTAAAGGTTTTTTCAGGAGTAACCTCAGGAGTCTGGCTTTCACTGGGCTTGGCTTCAACGATTGACTCTTCAGTGTGAAATGCTTCTGCTGAATTCTTGTTTCGTGACTTGACTAATTTTCCTTCATGACAACGACGGTGTGCATCGAGAGCTGAAGCTCGAGAATAATTCCGCCCACAAGACTCGCATTGAAATGACTTCTTTTTCAAATGTTCAAGATCATGAAAAACTGATTTGGAGGCTTGTCTGTGTGAGCGCTGATGGTTGAGGAAGTGTCCGATCACAAAGTAACATTTCCCACATTCTGCACATTCATAGGTGTGTTGCTTTGTTATCCCAGAAGTTATTTGAATGCCAGACTCCTTTTGCAAGGTTTCACCATGGCACTTTTCCATATGCGATGTTAATTCACTTGGTTCCACAAATGCTAGTGAACATATAGTACAGAAATTAGTTGTTTCATTGTCCCTTTCTGCATCATGTAAACCATCCAACTGTTTGTCTAAATGCACACTTTCTTGTGGGTGCTGATGGCGATGCTCCAAGAAAGCTGCCTCCTCTCTGAAGGCTTCTCCACAATCCCGACAGCAGAAAACCCCAACCCCTAAAAATAGAAAGGGGAAAAGAGGAGGTCAAAGCCACCTACTGTTTCCAGAGAAAGAAAGACAAAAATAACAAAAACACAGGTGCAAATCATATCTTTATTTTAAAGTGTGATTAAAGTTTACAGAGGGGCTAATACATTCGGTGCTAAAGCCAAATGACCTCTGTGAAGTTCAGTTATTTAAAAAGGGTTGCTGCAGTTTTGCATTTTAAATAGCAAAATGTTACAAATCGCCACATTTCAATACATTGTGGTGCATCACCAAGGGTTCCGCAAATGCTTAAGTGTAAATCGGACTGCAATTGTAGTAAATATTTTGGCAATCATTACCAATTTACTTTAAAAATACTGATAATATCTAAATCGACAGTCATGTTTTTGAAATACAAAGATACGTTTTGAGTGACACAACTCCTATTGTTCCCTTTTAAAGAACAGTAAACATATTTTTTTTATCACATTGCTATTATAAGTTAAAACAAAAATCTCCCACCCTATCGATTAATTTCTGAATTCTACATCTGTGCATTTGGCTGAGCATATAGGAATGTAGGCACTTGGAACAACCCCAAAGGAAGAAATGATGTTCAATGAAAAGCCTTCAGAGAGGAGGCAGCTTTCATGGAGATATTTAAGTTCCTTGCTTTGTCTCTCAGAAACATCACATTAGGGTATTTAGGTTATGATGAAACCAAAAAAGATTACATATGTATATATAAGATCCACTATCAAGCTCAGTGTATAGTTAAGCCTCATGATGCAGTGCTTCTGTAGGAGGTGTGTTAATTTCAGGCCGAAATAGATGACTATACTGTGCTTGATGTCATCAGATTTCAGAAGATAATATTTCAATGTGTTTAACCGTTTACGGGTCATAAAACAAAACAATAATAATTACTTGTAAGCTTTCATATCTAAGGTTTCCCAGCTTGGCGTGGTCACAAGCTACGGTTAGCCTTTTCTTTCACAACACTACTACTGCTATTTATGCATTTCTTATATGATTCTAAATAAAACCAGATTTACATACTGACAACACCTTTACATCAGCTTGTTTTAGGACGGTCGCTTGGGTTTTCAATATAAACAGAAGTGAGCTCCATAAATAATGAAATATAAAACAGGCCAGAGGGTGCATCTCCGACAATTGAAGTTAATGTAACATGCTTATTGTTAATGGTTCGTTAGTATCGTTATTCGCAGTTCTTCCGCCCAGTCTCTATGTTCCTGTCCCTGTGGTGAAGTTTGGGTAGGAGGTCACCACGCCTAAACACAATAGTGGTGTGTTGATCATGCTAACCACGTTAAGCTAACTGACAGCTAAAGCCGACTCACCATCTGCGGTGTCCTCAGCCGATGGATCAACGTTGTTTTCAGATGTGGTGTCTCCATCGTGGGTCTTGTTTTCAGCTCCGTCCTCTCTGATCTCTGCAGCAGCTTCGTCCATCTTGGAGTGTTTCCGTGTGTTAGTGCTAGCTTCCTCTTGCTAGTGCTCGTTAGCTTAACAGCTCCACAGTTGTTTTGAATGTGTTTGTTGCTATTGTTAGAAATGAATCGGCGCAGAACTGAGGTGAAAAATAAAGAATACAACTCATATACTAATCTACCACATAACAAGGCAGCAGCATGTGATGTTTTTAGTGAGGGATGGTGAACAACTAGCTGTTTTTCACACATCGCACATGCATCGCTCGGCGGAAATGGATTCTTCTTCGTTGGTTTTGTGAAAGCGCAGAAAGTCTGAATGTAAAATCTACAAAATAATGTTCACCCCAACACACTAATATAAAACGTTGAAATTATTAGCATATATACCTATATATGTTTTTCCTATTTATTGCCAACAATAAATAGGATAAATATAGAGTTAAGAAACGTTGCATTCCCTCATTATTTTACGAATTAGTAATAGGCCTATTGTTTTTTAGGGTTTCTAGTCCTATCTGATTTATTAATTTTGTACAGGAAATGTGGAATAGATTTACCATAATTTACCCTTTCTGTACTTTTGTTTACAAAATAAAAATTATACAAAACCTTAAAAAGCTAATTATGTTAGGTATCTTTACCTATAGCTGAAGAAAAAGAAAATGTGTGCAGAACATGAAATCTTTCCAAACCATAATTAAAATGAATTTGTATTCATGAATCCTCTCTAAAATGGATGTTGAAATGCTGTATCTTAACCCTGAGAAATAGTGCACATCACAATATTGTAGTCAAAGGCAGGTTTTATTTAATACAATATGTAGACATCATGGGAACATTTTAATTATTTCCATGCTAAAACAGTGGATAGAGGTAGAAGGGGACATGTTTTTGAACGTAAGACATTGAATGTTAAGAAAAACAGGAACAGGTTTTATTTTTTGTACAAATGGACTGTATTTATTATACAGTAGTAATGAAGATTTACTTTTTGGGCCACCAAACCTACTCAAATGCCCATTTTCACAACAGAGGGGGAATTCTGTAATCAGCTAAATCTATAGTTATGGAATGATATCATAATTCACAAAATTAATTGCATTGTACTCAAAAGTGGACTTAGGTTGTATTCCAATCTGAAATAGTCATTCTGGTCAGAAATACACATTACATGGTATTCAACAGTTAACAGTAGTCTAATTATAAAGAACATCAGTCATGAATTCGACTGGCCTGATTGCACAGAGCAAAATACACATTGTATTTGTCAGCGTAATTTTTTGTTGTCATTGTGATAAATATTAATGACAAAAGTCACACAAATTCAAGTTTGATTTAATAATGTCACTACCTGACAACAGTTTTATCAATATTTGTTTAATGACACATTTTTCTGTCTTTTCCCAATCATCACTTTAACAAATGGTCATGATGAAAACTTAACTTTTGTGATATTTGGACACAGCCATCAACACAATCCTCTCCTCCTCAGAAGCAAAATGTCTACATTTCTTTTTACTATGAGAAAGAGTTCCTCTGTGTTTTCAGAGTGAGGTTACATTGCTGAGTCTACCTTAAGCACAAACTAGGCCTAAAATACCAAGACAATAGACATGCAGACTGTACTCATAAAAAGGCACACAGTATACTGTACATGAAGAAACACAGTTCAAATGGTTCAGGCATATGAATAGAGCCTTAAAAGTACTAATATTATCTAAATCTAAAGATCATTGGCAACAAATGAAATGTTGACTGTAGAACCTCATTTATCTGCTACCCTCAGAAGTTGTTTAAGCCAGTTAACTATTTGAATAACAAATGTATAAAGACAGTGAAACTAATTGAAATGGCACTAGTATACACCCTATATCACAGACAACACTGTTCAGGCTTAATTGGAGCTAAAAGTATTTCACCGTGATTTCAGTGTGCATACTAAGTCAAGTTTCACTTGCTTCACTAGCTTGTTTTCTTCTAATGCCCATCCACTCAATTAGCAAATCAACACAAATGGTGAAATAAATGAGGTTCCACTAAATGAAAATTATAAAACAAACTAAGAATTGTTGGTAGTATAGAACGGTCAAATTTCTCCTTGTGCATGTTGCATGTAATGCATTTGTAGATCCAGCTCCCGGGGAAGAGAGCACCCGCATATCATGCACTGGAGAAGCCGTTCTTGGGCAAAAGGCAAACGGGAGCCAAGTTTGTGAGTTTCTGTCCGTTGGGAAAGCTGAGGTAGGGGCAGGGTCTGTGGCATGTGTGGCCTCTCGCTCATTACGGCCTGTGGTGCAAAGAATATATTTGGGTGTGGAGGTCTTGAGAGTGAGCCAACTGCGACAGAATGAAGAGGGTGTGGGCCAGGCAGAGCGAGAGGAGGGAGCGGAGCAAGGGGAGCTGAGAAAAAAGGAGAAGGCTGATTTATGATTATTTGAGTGGCTGTTACCATTGGCTGTTGCTGCAGCTCCTGTCCAGTCCCTGGTTTAAGTTGCCCAGTGAGCAGCGTTTGATTACTTTGGAAGCCCCATACATGCGTTCCCAACCCCTGGCCAAAACGATGAGGCTCGTATTGAATAGAGAGCGGAACCGTTTGTGTCGTTGTCTGACTCTGCACACTGGGCCAGGCGGATGACACCTGCTTTTGCTGCAGCTGAAAATCTTGAGCATTTACTAATTTTTCAGGGTTTATAGTCTTTGGAATTCCTGGTGGTGTCTGCAAGTCCCACAAGGTGCTACCTACCCCGTGGGAAACAGGAGTTGAAATTGGCATAGCACTGTTTTGGTCTATCTGAGCTGAGGTGGAGACACCTGGTAAGCCTGAAACCCACTGCTTTGGTAGCTCACAGCCGTTCCATGGCTTCTCTGGATGAATAACAGTCGACGGTATAACTTGAGGATTAATTAGGTCCCACACCCTAGTGTCCTCTTTTTTAGTATGTGTGGATGGCTCCTTTTGTATTGACACTGGGACACCTGCCCATCGTGGAAGTTGAAGCTCTTGACCCAGCTTATTTGGAGAGCTTTGTGAATTTGCCAGAAGAGCAGGTCTGAGGCTCCACAGAGCCCTGCTGTCTAAGAAAGACAATGGAGTAGAAAAACCATGTTGCAGAGAGCTTGTGGAAGCCAGCACTGTGGAGGTGGGCGGGCTACTCCAAATAACAGGCTTGGGCAGCCTTTGCTGCTCTATCTCACTCACTGTGGAAGGGCTGGATTTTTTTGGCACAGCTACCATGTGGGAGCTGACAATAGCAGGTGCACTGTCCTTCATGTGAGATGACTCTGAGCTCAGAGCAGATGTGGGGCCTGACTGAGTTATCAAAGGGCAATCTGGCCAGCCTGGACCTCTCTGATGGTGCTGCTGCTGACCCTGATTTGATTGGCTGTCAAACTGGTTCTGCTGAGGTGCTGCGTGTTGCTGCTGTGGTACGGGCATTACCTCTCCGCCATCCACCTTCCACTGCACTGGTTGTGGGTGTAGCTCTGGTAGCCACAGCTCCTTTTGTACATCCATGTGTGACGAGAGCATCGACTGCTGTGGCTGGACCACCCTTCTGTGCAACTCGGCATCGCTCAGTGCAGAAACTGAATACGGAGACAGCTGAGGCCCAGAGCTCCCCACTGGTTGGGACCAGCCCATTATGGGCCTCCCCCCTCTCCTCCCCCTGCTACCCCTGCCTCTAATCCTAGCGCCCATCGGGAAAGAATTATACTGGTTCAAACCCTGGCGTTTGCGAGAATGGATCTTTTGGTGTACTAGCAGGCTACTAAGCCAAGAAAAAGTTTTGTGACACTCATCACATCGATGAGGTCTCTGCCCTGTGTGTGTGTTAATGTGATCCCGGAGCAGATAGGCTAACGCAAAGCTCTTGTCGCACTGGTTACACTTGTGAGGTTTGTCACCATTGTGTGATAACATATGATGCTGCAGTTGGGTCACGTCGCTGTAGCCTTTGCGGCAGCTGGTGCAGCGGAACGGTTTTTCCTGATGCAGCTTTTGATGCGTTTTCATGTTCTGATGGAAAGCAAATTTCTTTCCACAGTCTGGACATGTGTATGGCTTATTGCCTGTATGGATGATGAGATGTTGCTGTAAGTAGCTACTAAATCTAAAGCCCTTGTCACACACTCTGCACTTGTAAGGCCTGTCCTTGGAATGTACGCGAATATGCAGCTCTAACACTGAGGAGTGGCGGAAGGTTCTTCCACACTCTAAACACTTGAACTTATTGATTACGCCATCACTTTCCTTTTTCCCCTGTACATTATCACTGCTTAATGGAGTATATTGAATTTGAGGCGGTGTTGCCGCCTTTTCTAAATATTTAGCTACAGAATTGTGTCCACTCCTAATATGACGATCTAAACTGGCTTCCTCACGAAAAATGCTTGGGCAGTGGGGACAGGTGTATCCTATGTCCCAATGGTTGCTTTTCCCATTTGGGGGTCTGGGGGTTCTCTCCAGTGTTTCATACTCAGCTTCGTGAATAAGCATGTGGGCTCTCAAGTCAGCTGGTATTAGGTATGTCAGGGGACAGAGGGGACAGTTGAATGTGTCTTTTTGTTCCTCGCTCTGGTGTTTGTTCTCTTTACCCGGCCCTCTGCCTGCCTCCTGTGTGGACGCCGGCTTGCTGGGCTGCTCAGTTGAGGAGTTGGTTTGGTGCAGTCTGTGCTGGCGGCAGTGTGCCTTCATGTTTTGTGCAAAGGCAAATGTTTTACCACATTCAGGGCAGCGGAAGGGCTTCTGGCCTGTGTGCAGAAACTGATGTTGATGGAGGAGGCTGCTGTACTTGAAAGTCTTGCCGCAGATGTTGCACAAGTGAGAGCGTGCGTTATCCGTATGCTTGCGGCGGTGATCTTCCATGACAGAGTAGTGTTTAAAAACCAAGCCGCATTCTGGGCATTCATAGGGTTTCAAGCCGGTGTGAGATCGCTTGTGGTAGCGCAGTGCCATGCTGTCTGGGAAGGTTAGGCTGCACTCTTGGCATGTATAGATGCTATCACAGGAGTGGAGCACCATGTGCTTGGTGACCGCCATCTTTAGCTGGAACTCTTGGCGGCACAGGGGGCAGCGGAAAGGTTTTTCAGCTGTATTGCAGCAGTTGTGGTCCCTCAGCTTATCCACTGTGGAGAACACCTTCTCACATTCTGCACATTTAAATGTACCCTCCTCCTTTTTTGGAGAAGCAAGCTGTTCCTCCTTCTCTTTGTGTTCAATTTTGTGTTTGATGAGGCTGCTGCGGTGCTGAAAGGTAAGGCCGCATTCTTTACAGGTGAGTGGAGTGAGCTCATCTTCATGTGCGTGAAAGTGACGGTGAAGGTTGAAGGTCTCGCGCCGGGTGAACCTCTTGCCACACTCTTTGCACTCCAAACGGCCCTTTTTGGGTTTAACTGTCAAATTAGCACTATCTTCTTGGTCTGCCTCTTCATCTTCTTCAATTACACCCACTCTCTTGATAACTTCTTCCACAGGTTTCTCAGTCAGTCGCTTCTCTTGGCTCTTCTCATCAGGATGGGGTGTTTTCTCCTCAGTTGCATCCTTTTTAATATTATCATCAACATGTGTATCTTGCTGCACCCCTCCATCACTCTCTGGTACATTTTTGGGGTCTGCAAGAGAAAAAACACAATACAAATTGATGACGCTCCTTTCTAGGGATGCTCTGATCGCCAAGTTTGGATCGCCAATCATTATCGGCCGATACCGATCGCCGATCCGATGGAGTGGGCGGGGCCTAAATGGAAGATTTAAACATCACTTTAAATCTTCCATTTAAAGTGATGTTATAAACTCTGTTGATGGGGCTCATTCACTGGAGCTTCCACAAACAACAATCTACTTAATTATTACATTCAAATTATGTACATTATTCACATTCGCTCCGCTCAGCTGCAGGATTTCTGCTTCACACACCGCTATTTTACTGTCTTTTTCGACACCTTAAAATAATGCCAGACCGGTGAAGCCATTTTGTCATGTATTTTACGTCATATGCGATCGGCTCTCGCAATCGGCATGTTTAGAGAGCACCGATCGATCGGTAGAAAGTGAGTATCGGCCGATCTTGATCGGTGACCGATCGATCGGAGCATCCCTACTCCTTTCCAATATGGGCTACAAAAAAAAACCTGTGACCAAATTTGTTTTATAATAATTGCCCCAAGTGGAATAAAACAAATGAATAAATACAACAAAGTGTATGTGTGAAAAAGTGTGAAAAGATAAAAAGTAAACAACATATCTGTAGCTGAACTCACAAATTGCATGCAACCAACACAGCTATCCATCTAAACAAATCACATCTTATTTAGCAGGATGCTAGCATATTTTGTTATGGTAATTAACATAGCATAGTTGAAGCGGCAGTGAGCGATCACGTTAGCCTGCAGGCTAAAGCTAACAGTTAAAAAACATTAACAAATATTGAGCATACCACAATTATCATCTGCATCCATGTGTGTTTTCTCCTCTGCATCGCCGTCTTCCGTTTCGGACCAGTCGTAAAACGGGTGGTCGTTTACACGAGCCTCGGCCATTTTTTCCGCCTGCTCTGCTGGATTACATGTCTTTTTTCCGGCTCCAGCCCCGGACTCGACACTAACCTCAGGATGGCGGGCACTACCGTCTCTCCCCACGCTGGGTCTCTGCTCAGTGTCGGGGCTCTCTGTGGGATCATTGTGTGTCTCTTCATCCATTGGATTTGAGCTGCATCCCGTCTCCTCGGCCTCGGTCTTCCCCCCAGATGTGTCCACCTCCTCCGCAGGGGATTTCGGTCGTTTGGGAGACTCCGATGGGTCGGCCATGTTTCACCCATGCACCCCCTTATCCAGGATCATGCATGTAGCCAGCATGAAAAAGTAATGACACTTCCGGTTGACATTTTCAAAATAAAAGACCCATTATTGACAACCATCTGTGCTTCGTCATTTCTTAAAATATAATTAGAAACTTTAAGTTTATAATTTCCGTTTTCTACTACTGCCGTCTTTGATGTTATACACAGTAAACACCTTCGTAACAACATAAATAAACTTCAACATTAAATACACTTTTTTTTTATATGCTATAATCACAAATCCACAAGTGATCAGCTGGATTTATTTTGAAGTCCAAGTCTGACTTTTATTAAAGTTTAGTTACATTTCATTGGAACAGTCACTATCTACAAAATATATTTATTGTGCAAAACTACGTAGATGATGGCCATATGCTGTTTCTTTGCGACTATCTACAAACACATTCATCGTACTGCATGCAAGAATAGAATAAATATCCCGTACACACTTATGTATGCTCTTATATTCCACCAGAAACATACGAGTTAAAGTCTGATGCCTACTGTGATGTTTATGCCGGAAGGTATTTCAGTTTTTAACCAAAAATGTGATAGACTTAATGTAACACTGTTGTCTCGAAACACACAAAACAGAACACAGTCTAAGTTTATTGTCCAATCAAAGCTGGAAAATACATTATTTTCCAGTGAACTGTTAAAAAGCAAAAGCATACATTAGCAGGTAAGTACAATAGCTGTTTGACTACCATATATGGCAACTGCAGATTACAAGTACTCTATGACAATGTAGTTAGTGAATCAGGAGAATTGAGACAGTGCTAAACTAGTAAGAGTGTCAGTTCGGCTGCAAAGCATGTGCAGTGACATGCATAATAAGCATCAGATCCTATAGTATATCTTGTCTGGTTTTTCAGTCTCATGAAGGAAAATGTCAACCCAAAGAGCTGCTGTTTTTCAGGAAGTCTTTCATCATATTCTCAAGAACCAAGCTAATGATTAAGGCCACCATATTATCACGTGTTATTTTCTTATGGATTTCAGTCCTCTCTGAAGACAAACTTAAGTGCAAGATGGATTTGAAGTGGGACGTAAAACTCATATATTATATTTTTTACAGAGATACAGTCAATAGAAAAAGAGCCTGACATCTTGTCACATTTTTGTAACACCAACTATGCATGATGTCCACTTTGAGTTTCTAAATGCTTTCTCATCAGCGCCGTCTTCTGCGCCTGTGATCAACAGCTCTTCCTCGCCGGGGCCTCTGCACACTTCTGTTTGTGTTTGTGGGTGCTTCCAAAGGAAAAGTGCCAAGTTCTTCAGGGGAGGATGATGCAGGAACTACAGCCACAGTTGTCTGATTATTTGGTTGCTGGGGGACTTGTGGCTGCTGCTGTATTTGCGTTTGCTGCTGTTGTTGTACCACCAGTGGCTGCTGCTGATGTTGTGTTTGCAGTGGTGCTTCAATCCGCTGTTGTTGAGGCTGCGGTGGTTCTGTGTGTTGTAGCTGCTGAGCGGCCTGTGGCTGTAAGGGCTGTTGCGATGTTTGCGTCTGGTGTGCTTGTTGAACACGATGTTGTTGTGGCTGCTGCTGGGCCTCAAGCACTCCTAAAAGCCTTTGCAAGAGGACATTGTTTTGTTGTAGACTGCCTGCTAGTGTCTCTTGTGAAGCAACAAGTGTTCTGATGTCCTGTCGGAAACCTTCCCCAAACTCCAGCAGGCTCTTCTCTACCCTATTTCCCAGTTGAATTGCTGCCTCCCCTAACCCTCGAAGCTCATCTTCAAGCCAGGAGCTGCGCGGAGGTTCTTCAAGAGGCCCCTGCTGTGCTCCGAGTGATGGCTGAGGACTACTGGGCTGGGGGCTGCCATTGAGGAAAGGAGCACTGTAGAGGGGGGAAGGAGGCAGCCATCGTTCTGAAGGAGGTGGGGGTCCAATGCCCAGACCAAGCCCTAATCCCAACTTTTCTTCCATGCTGTTCTCTACTGGTTCACACTCAGATTCTCCCATCTCTTTGTCACGCTCAGGATTGTCTTCGTCTTTGTCCAAAGCATCTCTCTCTGACCCTTCGCCACCAACACCTGCAAAGAAATATTTTAATTAGACCTGAGTAGATGTTAGTTGCATCTCGAGAAACTTCAAAGAAAAATACTCATATTTCACCTGTATCAGAGTCAGGGAAGCATGGGAAACTGGGCTTTGGTCTGGTGCTTTGCTTTTGCCGGGCATGCTGAAGCCTGGGGCTAGACTGTGAAGGACGGCCAAGCATCGAAGCTCCTCTGCTGGATGGCAGGTAACAGGTGCGGTGCCGGGCATCAGCCAGCCGGCCTCCGTTGCGTCTCTTTAGGTCGTCCCAGCGCTTCTTCACCTCTCGAAGTGTGCGTGGGACTCTGGACACGGCGTTGACTCTCTCTAGGATGCCTGCCCAGATGCGCTCTCTCTCCCGCCGCCGGAGTCTCCCTGCAGGACCAAAGAGCTCCCCTTCACACCGAGTGACTTCTGACACCAACACCTCCAGCTCTGCTCCACTGAAACGACTCTTTCTTTTTCCTGCACCACCAGCAGCCAGCGCAGCTGACATAGCTCTGTCTGTTAAGAAAAAATGGTGAGAGGACAGCCCAAAAGGGAAAGAAAAAAGTTTCAAGTGAAGATGAATGTGAAGAAGAGACATGTGCTTTAACAGTGTCAGCCTTATTTCCACTTGGCTAGGCCAAATTCACTCTTATATTACTACTTTTGGAAAGATATGGAGCATAAACGTAAATATTTATCCAATCTTCTTTCAGTGATAATGTCGGATCTAAATGTTTAAAATGCCGTGGCTGTTTACATAGATAGTGTGTATTACTTTGTATCTTGGCCTGTGCTTTAATATACTGCTGAAAAAGCCTTTAGTGTTAACTATGGTCAATAAGAACCACATGCTCTGCAGAAATGTACACATATTGCAAGGAAACATGAAATCCAGCTTCCAATAAAGTTCTTAATCTCAGGCTTACTTTGTTCAATAGACAAGAGGTCGTCTGAGGACATGCCGGGTGCCATGATGTTGGGATGCACCACTACCACGTTGAAGGGGAGTCCTCCAGGCAAGCCACTGCTCTGGTCACAGCTGCCCTCGGAGTCATCATCCTCCCTGGGGAAGCCGTTTTCTGAGGCTCCCCCTCCAAAGGGTCCCTCCGGAGACTCCACTTTGATGTGCATGGGAGGTGATTGCTCGTACAGCAGCCCCCCCTCCTCGTAGTACTCAGTCATGGGTCAGACCTGATTTACAGCAGAACTGACTGGTGGGCCAATTCTGACACTGGCAGCTGTTGCTCCATTAACACAAGTTCAATGTGTTACTAAGCCTACTGCTGAAGACATTGCAACTCTTCAGTATACTGCATCAGATAATAAGGATTTGTCTTTAGCTAATTTCTTAGGGAAATAAAGAGTTAAAGTGTTATTTGTAACAGTATTCTTCAAATCAATCAAGTCATTGTTGCAGCTTGATTGAAATACAATCATATTGTTTACTAAGAGTCAAGAGACTTTTATGGCTAGCTGCAGCCACTTAAATCCAATTCCCATATCATCTTTATTTATAGTGATATGTCACTAAGAACATATAGACGGTGTAAAAACACCTAAAGCAGGCTAAGAGCTACATCTATAAGTCCAGCTGTCATACAGTGTTCCTTCAAGGCAGAGAATATCCCCCAGAGCTGAAATGCAACAACAAAACATAACACTGCTTACAACTGTGAAGCATTTTAAAACAGTTTTGTATCACTGAAGTTGACGTCTTTATTCTGTCGCATCGATGCGCATTTTTTTCTGCACCACATCCGCAATGGTTGCGCATTCCGCATACATTAGGTGCTGATCTTGCAATGCTAGCTGCTAGCTAACAGGGAAACACAGTTTAAATGTAAAGCTGTAGCCTGAACACGCAGCGAGCAGCGAGCAGACATGACATGACAGCCCGCGCTGTTGTGATCCTTACCTCATGACTGCACATGGGAGGCAAAACACAATCAAAATACACTTGGTGCAGCTGTTAGCTCAGCAACCGATACACAAACCGAAGACAGTCGCTTATTTTGGACGTCACGGTGGGGCCGATGTTCAGGACCAATCAGGTCGGAGAGAAAGGTTTAATCTGAATATGAATGATTATTGTTGTACCTATTGTATTTCACATGTATTATTGTATCTAGAAAAACACGTAAAATGGTCATGCTTAATGTCACTGATATTTTTATTTTATTTTGAAAATACCTAAATGGACAAACATTTTAGATTTTCAAAGCGGCTATTTAGAGTTTTTGGAAAAGTACACCAACATAAAATGAAATAGGCCAATAGAAAACCACATTTCACTTTATTTCTAATGGATATATTAGAAATATCCATGTGTGTATACATACATAATTAAAGGTTCACATAAATAATTACATTACATTACATAGCATTTAGTTGAGCTTTTATCCAAAGCGACTTCCAATAAGTGCAATAAACCATAGACATATTTACTTCAAACAAGCAATCAGAGGTTGGGAGTAACTGAGTACATTTACTCAGTATAATTTTGAAACAATTTACTTGAGTATTTTAATCTTTTGCTACTTTGTACTTCTAATCCAATACAATTCAGAAGTAAATAGTGTACTTTTACTCCACTACATCTATGTATTACCTTTAGTTAGTTGCAGACTTGGATTAATGATTGATATGAAATATAATCAACACTTAAATAAGACTTTAGTTCCACCTGGAGTAAATTCACAAGCTACCCTGTAGTATACAAAGTCATTAAAACTAGCTGCTACTTTACTAGCTTTGATAACACTTTAATGCATCAATAATGATAATCAAAATATATGAGATACATTATTCTGAAATGGAACAATTTGCATAATGAGTACTTTTACTTTTGGTACTTTAAGTATATTTTGATGCCAATATTTTTCTACTTTTACTTGAGTAACATTTGAATTACAGGACTTTTAGTTGTAACAGAATATTCCTACACTCTGAGACTTCTACTTTTACTTAAGTACAAGATCTGAGTTCTTCTTCCACCTCTGCAAGCAATATCAATTTTATTTTTTTGATTATTCGCCACAAAATTACTAATAATGCAAAAGCTTGTAGATTTGCATAGTGGAAAATCACCCTGATAATCACTGGTTATATCTAATGTCAATGCAATTATTGAATAATAGTTAATACAATTATTAAAAATAAAATGTGATAATAAAAAATATAAAAACTATATTATTTTTGAAAAATGTATGGACTCTGGCGCTAAACATGAAACATTTTTTTGTTTATTATGTGTCCCCTCCACCTATAGTAATACAGGCTTTGTACAACATGTGCATTACTACCAAAATATAATACATAGTTGTAATATAAAGCTAGCAAGGTTGAGTGTTGCATATGTATCCGTATCTGTTAACTGGAAAAATGATGACATGAAATTCTAGGTGTTTTTCTCTTTGACCATGCTGCTGTTTCCCAGGTGGGATAATGTTTAATCATTGTGCAAGGTACATGGAAAAATCCATGAGCGAGTAAGATAAAGAGTGGTCTGCCTGTAGCTGTACATTATATAAACCCACTGCATCTGCTCCCGTGGTGTGTAGACTCATCAGTACATGATGAAGTACTTTATTCTCCTCGCCTTGCTCGCTGCAGCCTGTAAGTTCTTGCATATTGTGTTTATAATCTTTTAAATTCAATTTATTTTGTTTGTGTAATTTTAAGAAGTGTGATTTAGGCTCTTTAAATAGTTTTTCACGGTTTATGTTTCAGATGCTGCTCCCATTGAGGATGACAAGATTGTTGGCGGCTACGAGTGCAGAAAGAACTCTGTGCAGTACCAGGTCTCTCTGAACTCTGGCTACCACTTCTGTGGAGCCTCCCTGATCTCCAGCACCTGGGTGCTGTCTGCTGCTCACTGCTACAAGTCGTAAGGGCACACATTTGAAAAAGGATTGCCTAACTTTACAATAGAAAGCTGCTGCAAACCTTCTTTTTTTTTTTTCAAATGCATACATGCCTCTTTATATTCAACTGTTCATTTGTACATGTGTTTATCCCATATATTTCTTAATGTATAGGATGAACTATTCTTATTTCCCTATGTATTACATTATTGGACAAGAGGTTGTCCTGGTGGAGAATCGTCATTACATAATTGTCAACTTTCACTTATATAGGCAAATTGAGCAGTGGTGTAAAAAGTAATAGTTAACTGCATCCTTTTCAAAAAAAAGGAACAAAAACGGTAACAAACATACCTGAACCATTAATAATAACTTCGACTTTACTACTCACAACGAGTTATAAGATTTTTCATACAAATGAGCTTTTTGTGTGTACAACTGCTGGACCGTCTTCCTCTAACACAATTCGTAAGTAAAAAACATGCACGGAAACTTTTTTTTACTAAACAGGACGAACTTATAGTCTAAACTAAAACATACATATTCCAGTAACTTTAGAACAAGTTTTACACAAAGGTTCTATGAGGCACCATATACCACACACCTACGCACTATCGCAATCAGCAATTTTTGACTTATTCCTCCCCATTAAAAAACATAGTAGATACACTAGTACAAAGGATGAAACCCAGGTTTACATCTTGCGAAATATTTTATTCTGAAGGTATCCTAGACTTATAGGTCTCTATAATCTATTTTCCCCATATCGTTTCCGAGTTTAAGTCAATATAAATAATGGACACATCAGATTTCTAGACATGCAAACAATTGTTTAGTTCGTGTCTAAACAAAGCCGCCGTTGTAAGGACATTTGCATCTACTCAACCCTCGTCTTTCACATACATATGAAGACGGCTTATTCTAAGCGTCTCAGACCCTTCTTATTAGCGCAACCGGCAGTCGCGCGCGGCAGGGCGCCCGGCCCATCCACAACACTACACGATAATGTTCCCCGCTATATGTCGAAACGCACTGAAATGTTACTTACTGACACTTCACTGAAATCAAACGCCTCGCTGTACCCAACGCTTAGCGGCTCCGGGCTCAACATCAACGTCTGGCAACCGCATGTGAGGCCCGAACAAGGAGAGCCGGCGTCGTATTGGGGTCCTGTGGTGAACGGGACGGTCGACCTGGCAACGTGTGGTGCCCCCGGAGGTCCCTCAGAGGGAGCTCTCGTGCGTCTCCTCTTTCCTGTTGGTACACTCGTGTCGACTAGACTTCAAACGACACAACCGAAAATCCTTTGACATTGACACAGAGCATCGGACCCTTTCCTCAGGAACGGAGGCGAGTTCCTTAGGCGTGTCTCCTTCTACACACCCCTCCCACTAAGAACAGGTCCCCATCCGCCTGGACGTCACGACAGCGCAGTCTACCCCCGTAGGTTCGTGCGGAGTCATGCTAGTCCTTCCAATCAACAGGGATCTCTCCTTGGTCTCTAACTATATGCTACACCACCGAAGTATGACGTTTGTACATCGTCTTTGACACGAAGTCCACACGTGACGTCAATGTTGGTCAAATGACTGAAGGTCCTCGGCGACACGAACGGTCGTAGGGTCTCTAGTCGTCGCCCCGCCCAACCGGTCTCGACCCGTCGTCGACTCTCTCCGTCCCTGTGCCCAACGCCTGCTCGACAAGTCCCTCCGCCCCCACGACGTCCCGGAACGCTGTGAGTCGGGTACTACAGTAACAGTCAACGCTGACAAACATCGACCCCCTGCCTACTGAACCGATCTCCGAACCGCGTACTTGCACGAGTCACGGGAGTACTGCCCGTTACTCAACACGAGTGGTTCTGCGGTGGCACGGCGCCGACATACGCCCTCTCCGTCCCAAGTTTCCGTAACATTCATACAATGTAAACGTGGAAATTACTAATGTTAAGTTTCCACATTTATACAACGTTTTTTATCGATGTCGCATTCAAACCGTTACAATTTAGAATGTCAGATTCGAAGGAGGTTGTTGGTCACTATGTGTAATGATATTGTAGTTTCATTTTCTGTATTTTCTCACGTAATTTTTACGCTTCCCAGGTACATTTACGTCCTAATTCTTTGAAAAATCCAAGATAGGTTATTTATC